AAAGAGCTATGTTTGTTGTGTCTTTACATAAATATTCGTATTGTCAGATTCCAGCGTCGATTAGTTGGCTACGGACAAATATTTGAATAGAAACGAGGGTGCCTTTAAGGTTTATTCATGTCTAAATTATATTTAAAGGCAAGTACGCACAGGGGTCGTCATTACGACGTCATTAACAACTCTCCACGTCTTTAGCAAGATTTCCTCGCGACCGTGTTACGGAGATCCGCTTTCGCAATAATTTAACTAAACTCAAATATCTCAAATAATATATTGTTCGAACCACTATTATTTCTAGGTAAATAATTAAAGAACAATGACGGGAATGGAATAGTTGGTACAAAAGCAATAACAATGGTTCGGAATTAGAGTACCTATTGGAAACGTAGATCGGATTACAGTATTGATTTTCATTTGTTTGATATATTGTGCATGCTTCGAGCGTTTCAGAGAATATCTCCGATAGAATATTTAGTTTTCTTCGATTTACAACTATAGCTCAAACTCTCAAAGGTCCGATGTAGCTTCAACTTATGCCTACTTGTAGTTTAAGGAGTTTATAATTATTATAGTTCTTGAAGCCAAAGTTTTTCTACGCGTCATAAGAGGAAAATTTTTCATCAAGTGCAGGATTTCAACAAGTTTGGACTTGGGCTTTAAACTTTGTCCTTCTATATCAACGTAGTTGACCCGGGAGCCAGTTATTTATAGGCGTGTAGTCTCATGTTGAGGTTGACCTGTGAACTATAAACTTTATCAGCAAACTGCGTTCAACAATTATGCGCTTAAAATTAATTATGGACAGGATTTTCATTAAATATTTTAACCGCCATACTGAGCGGTGAACCACAATATTTCTATGAAATTAATATAAACCAAAACCGGTAAAGTTAATGCATATGAGCATTTTGGGATTTGTTTGATTAAATTCAAGAGGAAATCGAGTGTAAATGTGAGGAAATGTTCAGTGATCTTTAAAGTAAGTCGCGTATTCGTGTTTCTTAGATATTTGGAAGGATGTTTCGAGATGGAACGGGTCCGGAATTGTACGCAGGAAATTAACTGGAAGCTCGGTGCTAATCTGAGGAAGCAATATACGGGCTGAGTCCCGATGTCTCCTTCTTTAATTACTGCAAATCCGACGCAACGCTTGATTAAACTATTTCCGAACAAATTAAGTGAGCCAACGGGGCCATGCTTCACAAAATGGAACTCAATAAAGTCGTAGATGTATTTCGTGCTTTAGCAGGCGATAATTACGTTGCGAAGCCATTACTTTACGCGTTTTATTAAAATTGTGTCGCTTCCGTTATTGGCGTTTATAATTTCGTTGGAGAGAATTGCGATATTAGTTATTAGTGCTAAATGGAAATAGCTTTGCCCTACTTACAGGGTATGTTACGGTTCGTTCTACGGAACTATAACATTTACGGACTTTTTAGTCTTTAGGAAAAAGCTACATTGGTTGTTTTAATCTAATAGGTGAGCTCAAGGGTTCAGGGTTTCACGACTACAAAATTAAGTATCCCCAAGCGGTCATCGGTGACCGCTCTCCACTAACTACATTATAGACTTTTTTATTTCTGATGTTTAGAGACTACTTTTGTATGAACAAATTTCGGGTATGATATTTCAACAGGTTAAAAATATCACATTTGCTATTCATTTCCATCACCATCATCATCATTATTACCATCGACTGCTGCTGGATATGGCATGGTACCAAACTAAATTAATGTATTCAGCCCACTGTCATTTCAACTTGTTAATCGTTCGAGCAATCCAGGCTATATCAGGCAGGAATTACTGAATAACATATACATTAGTATTTTGTACACATACCTATATATTTCTTGCAATCAATCACTTAGTATGAAGACCAAATGTTGGCAAAATTAATCGTAATCGACATCGACGTAACTAATCGTAATCGTTTGGAAACATTTGTCACATCAATATATGAGATTTAAAGGATTGTTGCATCATTTTGTGGGTTCCGTATATTTATATCCTATGTCTTTCGATGCCCAAGGATCTCTTTGGTTTTTGTAATATTCCTGTTTCTCAATATGAAGTAGGTATAACGGGTCTCCGGACAAACAAGAAGTAGGAACGGGCAGGTTTTTAGTCAGTACGTGGCTGACACTTCTTTTTCTCGCCTCAACCAAAGAGGGAGGAGTCATTGGATGATATTGAAAAAAAAAATACGTTCACGTGTAGTTTATTAATTTCTAGTAATGAATTCAGAATCAATACTGTGATAAAGAGTGCAATTGTTCAACTAGATTTTTTTTATCCCTTTATGTATTTGTCTATACGGAATTTCTGTTGTTGCTTGTTTAGGTTTTTAGTTCAATCATCCATTACTAGAAATAGATACATCCGTAGCCAATTTTCGTGTTTAGTCGAGTATTTATATATATATCTGTATTTTTACACAATTATATTAATTGATTGAGTAAGTAACATTTTGTTAAAGCAGAGTGAACAGGAAGCCAACATTTTTCTGTGTGCCTATTAAATCGATTAGATGGAAAAAATTACTAATAATCTTTTTCAATCAATGGATTCCTGCAAAGATCAATCAAAATTGTTGTGAAAATAATGACTCTGAAAACTGTGAAAATGGTAGATATTTCTATATTATCTTCATTGCTGGAACAAAGTGACAATTTACAGTACCTGTACCTATATTAGATACTTACATATATCTGGATACGTAATAAAATCAGTGGTCTCTCGTTGGTATCGTGGTTGGCTGACCACTTCGTCAGTCGTGGTCCGCTGCCACCGTTAGTGCAGCTTGTGACGCGAATCTAATGGAAAATTCAACCAATTGCTTTTGGCTCCTACACATCTATTACTTATACTTACGTAGGTTTGTTTATTTGTATGTATGTAGCTATCTTCAAATGGTTGTCAACCTCTGAACTGTGTTGTACCAGGGTATTTAAATGGTCTTTTATAGTTATTTATTAAAAATTTAAAAACTTCGTTTAGAAAAACCGACTTCAAAAACTAAAGACGAACGAAAAGTAAAAACTAAAAAAAGAAAAAAAAATAACTATTATTGGTCATACGTACTTATAGCTTACACACCCACTGATAGGTTAGAAGTCAGTGCCACAAGTTTTAAACAAAATTATTCATTAAAACCTTTATAGATAGGTACCTAACATTATTAAGCTGTTTACAATTTTATTATGGATTGTAGTATGGTCACAGTTATATTTTGTTATGGGAAGTATGGGAACCTCCTCCTTTTTTTGAAGCCGTTTAAAAATAGTACCTCGTTGGCTGACAGAATGGTTAAAATGGGTGTCGTGTTTTATTTACGGGTTGTGGAATGTTCAAAATTTTCAGCAGGTAATAAGATATCTATTATTTAGTAATTTCCATAAATTAAAGAACAACATGATCGAAGTTCAGTGGGGTAAACCAAATGTAGGTATATAACATTTTTTACTTCCGATTGGTTCCTATTAGCGGCTAGTTAAATACAATAAATATCTATATTTACTTAACAAATTAAATATTTATAGATTCCATCTTAACCAATAAATGCACTGTTATGTTATGTACTTTCCAAATCAAACACGTTGTTCCACGTTAATACTCTTTTACTAATGGTAAAATCCTTGACAGAAACCTAATGGTCCCAAAATACAATAAGTGTGAAACACTACTAAACCATTTGGGTGTACAAATCGAGCTATACAAATCCAGTATATCTTGGTCTGCCTATCTATGATCTCTCCGCACATACAACGGTCAGTTTATACTGGATTTTTATATTTTGATGTGTGGTTGTGTGTGTGTACCCATTAGGGTTGACTATCATAACTTCTATTGTTGAATTATTTGAAATCATAGATCGACGATAGATTAACACATTTTGATGTATTACAACAATATTGACGTTGGACACAATTTGTGTGTGTGTGTGGTAATGTTGTTGGACTTTCTCAATTTGTTATCATTACCTAAATACATTATTTCCAAATATTTCATTTTAAAAGAATAAAAATCGTCGTTGATAGAACAGTATTTGCTAGACATAGCAAGGGGTCTCGTTTTTTAATTCTTCGTCGAGCATAATTGAGATTTGCAGAAGTTTTTAGTCATCTAAAACTAACGTCTAAATCTAAAAAAAAACAAAAACTTCCTCTGTTCATATTTGTTTTTTTTTCAATGGCATAAGCCGGTAAACGAGCAGACGGATCACCTGATGGTAAGCAATCGGCGTCGCTCATTGACACCTGGAACACCAGAGGCGTTACAAGTGCGTTACCGGGTTTTTGATTACCGGGATTCAGGAATTGGGAAGATTGGGGAAGGGGAGGGTAATTGGGCCTCCGGTAACCTCACTCACACGACGAAACACAACGCAAGCGTTGCTTCACGTCGGTTTTCTGTGAGGCCGTGGCATCACTCCGGTCGAGCCGGCCCATTCGTGCCGAAACATGGCAGTCCCACACTTAAACTAATTGAAGTTCATTTATAATTATAATATATTTTTCCAAACTAATAATAAATTCAATACCTTATTTTCTATAAAAGTCGTGTGTAAAACTAATGGTTTATAATATTTTATTATTGGAGGCCTTTGAGCTGTCACTGCTAAAAGCTCTATAATAATGGATTACGTTTATAATGTAAAAAGAGCCTGTAATAGTTTGATTCTAAGATTTGAGAGCTACGGTTTAATAGATTCTAAGTAGACTTAGATCACGTGAACACGAAAGCCTATTTTGAAGGTGATTTGGTTAAAACAAAAGATTATTTTAACGTGTACAAAGATTTTTAACTAAAATAAAAACTATGTATAATACGTAGGTATAGTGTTTTTTATTCTTAAAGTCTAACATAGAACTGAAAGAACTCATAATGACTGGTTGTAGATGTCACGCGGCAGACCAAAAGGCGGGTAACGTCTTTGTAACGCCTCTGGTGTTTTTGGTGTCCGGGCGGCTCCGTTTGCTTACCATCAGGTGCTCCGTATACTCGTTTACCGGCGTATTCCATAAAAAAAACAAATTATCTTACAAGCATTATATCACATATATCACATTATATCACAATTATTAGGGAGGCATCCAGTAGGAAAAAGGATAGTTTGTTGTATCAATCAGGAAGTATCATCATCATCAGACCGTGTTCGTCCACTGCTGGAGTTCCCTCCAATGACAATGAGCTAGTTCTTCAGGCTCTTCTCACCCAATCGCTGCCAGCCACCTTGCGGATGTCGTCACTCCATCTAGCTGGAGGATGACCTACACTTCGTTTGCCTAGCGCGGTCTCTACTCTAGAACACGTTGGAACAGGAAGCATAGACATTACATAACATAACGTCACGCCTTTTATCCCCAAAGGGGTAGGCAGAGGTGCACCTCTAATGTGCACATTATGCCACTGTACAATG